AACCACAACACAGGCACTGGTTGCTCAAATTGCTGTCCATAACGCAGAGATCAAAACTGAGCAAGAAGCTACCCAATACCTAGCCGGGTTGGCAACGGTTACCATCTCCTCAAGGGCCAATTTGCATAATTATACCACCATGGTCCAACAGTTCCTTGGTACCCTACCCCTGCCCATGGCTGTCTACATGTTAGACTACTACCTGCCCATGCTCAGTCCTAATGAAGGCTATAATGAAACAGGGTTAACAATGCAAAGTGCAGGACCGGTTCGACAGCCATCACAACCCATTGCCCTAGAGTTCCTCTTCAAAGGCAGCGAGTTTGGCCACTGGAGAGTCAAAGGCGGACAGGATGCATTCGCATTCCGACATCCAAGCCTTGGTAAAACTGATGTGTTTAGCCTACTTGCCAGCGATGCGCACCATCACAAAGCCCCCATTGGCACGGGTAGGCTCATCGCCATGGTTGGCACAGCAGAAGCACCAGCTGATGACGGAGATGACCTCCAAGTCCTATTTGGTTTGGTCCTCGCCATCACACCGCGTGCAGCCAAAAAGAAGGATGAGCTGGCAGCCTCACGTATATACAGACAATGTAACCCTAAATTCATTGAGGTCGCCTTCCTTACCGTCCCAGCCATTAAGTTCTTTGCAAAGGAACAGCTTGAAACCCTCCAAGACTTGTACACTGATTCTGGCCAATGCCTGGACCCTATTGATGCAACTGTCCAGGGGCAAAACAGTCCGGTTCCAAATGGATTTTTTCGCGACTTAGCTGGTTCGCAGGGAATAAGCATAAACAACATACATAAGGGTTGAACCATGTGCATCAACAGTGTGTTACCCTTCCTGAACCACGACGGGCCATGTGATTTTTTGGGAAAGTATTTTCACGGCATTTTCACGTATCATTTGTGTGATCAATGCCTGGCCGGCGGCCATACTTGGTGGCTTCAGTACCTGCAGTAACTTCAGGTACACTTGAGATCAACTTCATTTCAGAACACAGAAGTTCCAACTTCAGATCACATTGGGAATTGGAACCTTGGTCCCCAAACCGCAAGAGTTAGAGTCAGCTGGGACAAATTTGAAGTTTCAAGTAGAATTTCAAGATTCGCGCATTTACCATATATCCATATGACCATGTGACATGGCAGCGTCAGTGGAGCGATTGGGCAGCCTCAGGGTGAAACTGGAGGGGCTCTATCCTGTTGTGCTGCGGCGTGGCAGCTGCGAGGAAGTAGCTGCCTATGCTGGCGCTGTGATGGATGTCAACAAGCTGCTGGAGGATGCAGAGAGTTGCAGCCAGTTGGCCATACAGACGCTGCTTGGTGTGTCAAGCGTGGCTCTAGTCTCACATATAATCTTATGTGCAACGAACGATTGAACAAGTCCTTGCTTCAACATCAGGATTCTGATCCAGAACGCTGATGAACAATGAATCAATCAACAAGCTAAATTCTAATTTTGAAGTTTTCTAGTTTCAATTTCAAGTCCCCAATAGGTTTGAATCGGCTTGAACCGGGAATTTTAATTCTGTTGCAGTTATCACAAAGAGGGAGGACCTATGCTTGGTACAACTTTAGAACCCCTGTTTCTCTATATATTTTTTGGGGTTCTGACATGGGACCCGCACAAACAAATTGTAGCAAAAACCCGTGAAAGCACGTCGTACCCCTTTTCCAAAAGGTATGAAGGGCCAATGCTGAGATAGCGGTGGCCAGGGGATGCTACTGCTGAGATAGCGCTAGACACCGGAGGCTAATGCTGAGATAGTGTTACCCAGTGCTGGGATATCATTAGTAGCTTCTGGTTGCTGGGATGTTGCTTTTGGTTTCGTGCCTGCCTAGGACCCCCTAGATATCATTTTCAAATTTATATTTTCAAAAACGCAATTACAGGAAGCAAATTGAAAATGACATGAAGGAATGCGAAAATGAAAGGAAAATAGAAGGAAGTACATTTTGTAGTAGACACCCATTCCATCTTGATTTTGTAGTGCAGTTGGACTTCGCTTTCACCATAGACAACTTGGAATGCAATAAAATCAAAGAAGTAGAAAAATGACAGGAACATGAAAGGACATGAATGCAAAGCTGACGCAAAAAAACGAAAGGACATGAATCAACTCAATGAGAGAAAAGTGAGATGACAATGCATTTTGTAATGGACACTGAGACTGATTCCATCCTGATTTTGTTTTTCGGCGGGCTTTCCCTTCCACCGCAATAAATGAAAGTTCAGGACATGAAACAGACAATGAAACTGAAATGGCAGGAAATGAGTGCAAAAACCAAAGCGCAAAGAAATCCGGGCAAAAATGAAAGGACCATGAAGCAAATGAAAGCCACAAAATGACAAGAGAATCAAAGGACATGACATGAACGCAAAAGCATAGGAACATGGAAGGAAATGGATGCAAAGATGATGAGCGTGAAAGGAAATGTAGGTGTGAAGCCCCCATCTTGCAGGCGCATCCACTTGCATTTAGTAGCGCAAAACTTGCGGTTCCAGCAAATCAACAAAGTATATGCGATGTTTACTTCAGATGCACGAATACATGACTTGGGAACGCCAACGTGATAGGTCCCCAAAGCAGCTTTGTGGGGACCTATCGTAGGGGCTCAGGTTTGAAACGTTACTGGAAGACAAAATGACTCAACAAAAGCCCAACATAGCCTCCAAATGGCCCAACATAAGCCCGAATACCGACCCAAAATTCAACTTCAACGGAACCATGCTTCCGTTGGGGTTGAAATTTTACCCCCCGAAAGCCACCAACAAAGCCCCAAATGGCCCAACATAGCCCTAAAATTGTTCAACAAAGACCCAACATAGCCTCCAAATGGCCCAACATAAGCCCAAAACCGACCCAAAATTCAACCTCAACCGACCCATGCTTCGGTTGGGGTTGAAATTTTACCCCCGAAAGCCACCAACAAAGCCCCAAATGGCCCAACATATCCCTAAAATGGTTCAACAAAGGCCCAACATAGCCTCCAAATGGCCCAACATAAGCCCGAAACCGCCCCAAAATTCAACCTCAACCGACCCATGCTTCGGTTGGGGTTGAAATTTTAGGCCCGAAAGCTGCCAACAGAGCCCCACATGGCCCAACATAGCCCTAAAATGGCTCAACAAAGGCTCAACATAGCCTCCAAATGGCCCACGTGAAAAGGTTTTTGTGCTACAGAATGCTTTTGCCAACCGGACAGGATGATGAATTTTAGGCATCCATGTGGCATCCACGCAAGCCCATGCTCATTCTGGCTACTTGAGTGCCATGCCACTTTGACTTGGGCCGCCAATCTGTGAATGTGAACAGCTACAGCTAAGGAAGAAGAACAGACCTAGCAGAGTCAGGCAGTATGACTTCTTATCTCTGTTTCGCGCCTTCCGTTTTGCACAGCACTTGCGAAATGCGAGCAGGACATAACCTGGGTTATTTGTGTTGTAGATTGCACGGCCCTTTCAGTGAAGCACAGGACTAGAGTCGATTGGCTCACAGCCTCGCAGTATCCAGGGCATCCCACAGTATATCCCAAAGGTTCCAGCTTCCATGATTTCCATTTTCTGCGTCTGTAGACTTGAAACTTGAACTGGAAGATTGTAACACTAAGCATGTCGATCTAACATTCAAGTAGCAACTTGCAACTTGTAACTTGCATTTTCGTTACTGAGACCACGCTGTGGTTTTTCTCGTGACTTGGTACTTGGTACTAGGCATGGACTTGTCCTGAGGATGAAAGCGAGCTTGGCTGCAGCAGCGGCTGTCTTGAACGACCACGAGTCTTTTCACAATCTGCAACTGGCTGAGGATGCGATCGCCTGCCCAAGTGGCGCAACAATCAGCTGCTTTGATAAAATCGGTGTGCTGTTGTGGCTCTGGTGTGCCATTGGGCTGAGCGGCTCTTGGGATTTCAGATGAGGTCGGGCCAGGCTTCGCTTGGAGGTTGCCTTCCTCAAGATGCGGCAGCAAGTGTGGAGGGGCCGGATGAATGGCACCCATGATGGTAAATGGTTTGTGAATCTCAGTTCCTTTGCCGCTGGCGGTGGCGTCAGGTAGCCTTCAAAATTCCCTCCAACCATTGGTTGGGCAATAGCAATGTTGGCAATTGTTGTTGCCCCTGCTACCATTGCTTCATTGATTTTTTTGGCGCTTGCGAATTATTTCGCTGGGTGCCGCGGCACCAAATCATACCAAATCAACCATCCACCAGGGCTTTGAATCCTAGTCAAAATCTGAACCCAGTATGGAGTCATTCAGTTACCAACGCACAACTACCAAGGTTTACTATTGTTACATTTTTTTGATCACGCCAATTCACCAAAAGATTGGAAGCTAAGGTTTTGATAGTTCGCAGCTCAAGAGAGATACTTGACAGCAGGGTGAGGGTGTCGTAGATACGAGCGATTGGTGACCACAGGTTAGAAAATAGTGGGTTTATCATCATGGATCGACGATCGGTCAATGGCCATCCTTGATTGTTGACTGCGCATCACCGACCAACAGAATCAAAAATATGACAATCATTCGATTGATGACAAAAATCATTCACAATTCAGAATTCAGATGTCTGTTTGTATCTGTATAGCACCTTGTTGCCTTCCAGGTCATCAGTCATCATCTTCCATCACATGGTCATGGTGGTCATGTCGTCATCGTCATCGCTGTCATCATTATCATCATGATTCATTCTTGATCCTTAACAGTTCCTTTATGCGGCTTTGTTGCGTGGTTTACCAGCTTCGATTGTCTTGAGTCTGAGAGACTAAGCATTTGCGTTCAGCCCGTTCTGGTGAGCCCCTTTCACTGCAGTGTTACCTGACAGGCAGCTGACATTGGGCGTCAGTAGCGGTAGAGCCTGAGGAGGTTAGTTAGTAGGATAAACTATACACATGGTTTGCAAGTATGGTGAGTAAGCAGCTCCTGGCGGCAAACAAAACCCCATTCACTTTCCATCATTTAAGTGGGTTGCCCCGCTTGCAGGATTGGTTCATGACGCTGGAGTCTACGTCTTTTGTTGCTAAAGAATCCTTCTCTGATCGGTTCGAGTACTTGGTTAGATGCGGAGATTTGATGCTTCCACTTTCAGACGCAGAGGAGCAGGACAGTGCTGTCAGTGAGTTCAAGGCCAAGATCAAAGATGAATCTCATGAGGTTACGGTACTTCCACCAGTTGTGCTGGGTCTGGGGTTCGCGAAGCTCCGCCACAAACTCGCAGCTTTGTTGCACCAATTTCGGTTGGAACTTGGAAATGATCTGGATGTCATCCAGGCTTACTGTCGCAGTGTCCTATCAATCTGCACTGATCAGGGCACAGAAGCTGGGATCTTTTCTGTTCCTTCCATTGATATTCACAAGCACCTCATCAATGAGGCAAAGGCGTTGTCCAGTGCTTGCCCTCCTGGGGTCCTCTGGGCCTTGAAAGATTTGGTGCCGGCGCCGGGTAGCGGCGGTCATTTGCAAGTGGGAAGTGGCGGTGATCAATTATTGCCCAGTGACAATGATCCAGGTCCAGTGCCGAGTGAAATGGCCATGCCCGATTGCCGGGCGGCAATGATGATGTCGACCAGCTGCACTTTGCAGCTTCGTTGGTTTGCAGACTGTTTCCCAACGCTCTGTATATTCCAGGCATCAAGCACTCGATGGACAATTGTTTGCACGATGTGTGGGGCTCACTGAGGGCGAGGGATTTGTTCTTGAAGCAACTCGGAGCAATCGAGTACCTCATGAAGCAGCCCATGCTGCGGTCCAAACTGGCATTTGTTTTCTTTAATGAGGCAACGACATTTGACAAGACATTTTCACAGTTGTTGAAACATTGGGGGCCGACACTGCAATCTCTACGATGGCATGCTGTTATTGAATTTCTTCAGAGTTTGTTGAAGCTTGAAGAGGGGCTCCGGAAGAAGTGGAACTTGGAACGATGGATGAAGTCTTTGCCTTCTGATCGCAAAGAACAGGGGGGGGAAGGCAGAGTGCAGCCTTCGGTCAGCTACAAACTGATGGATCAAGCCGTTCACAGTGCTTTCTTTTGGATGTATGGTAGAATGCTGTTACATATCAGCGATGCCAGCGAGACTCTTTCACTTTGGTCAGAGGGGTGCTGGCTTCATAGGAACAAATGTTCCCAGAAGACATGTTCTTTCAAAGGAGCACGCGCCCCCGAACTGGCGTCCGGGGCACACAAGTTTTTGCTGCAGCGGTTCAAGTCCTCGGCCGATGTACATCTCAGCAGCATGTCTTCAAATTTGAAGCCTGACGAAGCCCACCGTTTGGCCACTGACTTCCACATCGCCAGCTCCAGGTTGTCTCTGGAATGGGAACTGCAGCTGCATTTTTGGGATTTATTTCCATGGAAGCTGGCAAGCCTCGCGGTGCCAAACCTGGAAATGGCACAGGTAAATGCCCGCCATGTCCTTCAAATGTGGCGTGATATGGGGAAGTCCCAGCAACAATGCAGCCATCCAATGACGAGGAGGTTCTTAGATCCAGACTGGGCAGGCAGGTGTGATGGTTTCACAGGGCGCCATGCCAGCCAGGATCGTTACTTAGCAGGTAGTTTTTCATCCATTCTGTATTGGTAGTATGAGTATTTTGGCAAATTACCGCTTTTTGCTTTTGCCTACAACTTAACTGTAAAGTGTATACAGCAGACATGTCAATTTCAGGACTCCATGGCCATTAGTCCAGGGCCGGGCCAGGGTCAAAATTTTTGTTGGGTGAGAAGACAAAGGCAAAGCCTGACTATTCATTTTAATACAAACATCGAAATTGAACTGCCTGCGGCGTATTTCGCCGGCCACCGTGGACAGAGCCATCCTGCAAGCAGCAAACAGCTGCAGAGCCCAAGGAATTATAAATACATATATATATATACATATATATATATAAATATGTGTGTACATATATTAATATTTAAATACATTTATATATATATATAATTAAATATATATATATATTTATACACACATAATTGAGTCCCGTCCTAATCGCGGAACAGTCAAAAATGATTTCTTTATATTTTGAACGAACGTTGTTTTGAGTGTTTTCCTTCGTGCACAAAACTGTGCTTTTCGGTGCTTTCCCTCGTGCAAAAAATCGTGCTCTAGACCGTGCTTTTTGGTTCTTTTTGGTGCTCTCCTTCGTGCATTTTTGTTTTTTTTGGTGCTCTCCTTCGTGCCACAAATCGTGCTTTTTTTGGTGCTTTCCCTCGTGCCAAAAATCGTGCTTTAGATCGTGCTTTTTGGCGCCCTCCTTCGTGCATTGGCTCTCCTTTGTCCAATCCAAACATCGTGCTCTTGACCGTGCTTTTTGGTGCTCTCCTTCGTGCACAAAATCGTGCTTTTTGGTGCTCTGCTTCGTGCCACAAATCGTGCTTTTTGGTGCTTTCCCTTGTGCCAAAAATCGTGCTCTAGACTCTAGATCCTGCTTTTTGGCGCTCTCCTTCGTGCATTGCTCTCCTTTGTCCAAACATCGTGCTCTAGATCGTGCTTGCTGGTGCTCTCCTTCGTGCACAAAATCGTGCTTTTTGGTGCTCTCCCTCGTGCCAAAAACCGCGCTCTAGATCGTGCTTTTTGGTGCTCTGCTTCGTGCCAAAAATCCTGCTTTTTTGGTGCTTTTCCTCGTGCCAAAAATCGTGCTCTAGATCGTGCTTTTTGGCACTCTCCTTCGTGCCAAAAAATCGTGCTCTACATCGTGCTCGCTGTTACAGCTTTTAGGCTAGTGTCAATGTTTCTATATATATATATATGTAGTTTCTGTGTGTGCATATATAAAAATATAGTCTATGTCTATATATATATATAGACAACAAAGACGACGAAGAGGAAGACAACGAAGAGGGGGAACGGGGGCAAGGGGGGGTAGTTCAAGTTAGGCGAAACAAAAATCCGCGCCAAGGGACAACTTAGACAACGACTACAACAGATTACGAACAAGGAACATCCACAAGACACGCCGGCAGGCCGGCGGATTTGACAACTCGGTACCCATGTGGTCACCCACCAACTCTGGAGTTTAGGTGGCCCATGACCAACCCCATCTTCTGGATTGTTGACGTGCAGGTCTTGAAGACCACTTCTCTACTGGACGAGGCAGTCACCCAGTTGACCCAGATGATCCACCCTTGGTCTCAGATGTGCGTTTTCTGATGGAAGGGGCTTCGCCTGAGCAATTGAGCGCCCACTTCGCGTTTTGGGTTGAAGGTTTGGCCCGAATGCCTGTGCAGGCAGGAGATGGTAAGGGGCTGGAGCAAAAGTCAAGACTAGTAACTGGTACCACCCTGTTATCATCCTCATCCTCATCCGAATCCTCATCCTCATCCGCATCATCATGGTCATCATCATCATCATCATCATCACCATCATCATCATCATCATCATCATCAACAGAATCATCAAGGAAATGGTCCAACCAGGTACCAGATTGATTCCGGACTGTGGTTTTAATTCATTCTTAGAAGCTTCAAACTCCCAACCAGCTTGCTGATGTGTACTGACTGTTGCTGGTTGAAATTTTGAAGAAGTAAAGATGAGAATAAGACTAGCCCAGTTCAGTTGAGTGACTGTTTTGGGAGATGTCTCATGATGTTGGGCTTGATTTTTCAGGAGAGGTCTGTGGAAGGCTTGCATGCGCGGGTCACTCAGACAGTGGCAGGGCGTCCTTTGCAAGTGGCTGGCCTGGCGCTTGAATTGAAATGGCCAGACATAGAGCTCATAGTGCAGCGATCTGCCAAGGTGGCCAAAAGTGGGGTAGCCTGAGGAAGTACTTAGACTTGTATCCTTCTTCATGTCAATGAAGTCTACGTCACATATTTCATTCCTCAGATAATCAGAACATTATCATTTTGCAAAAGTTATAACAAGTTGGCTTGCCTGGCTTGCTTAGCTGCTTGTCTGTTTGGGATGGACAAGTGCAACTTAGAATTTAGAGCCCCCTACAAATTAGACACATCATTGAATTGCAAAGAATCAGCCAGTTTATGAATAACCCCCCACACAGTCACTGACAAGTGATTCTTGCTCTTGGATTGTGGTGGTGGTCGCCGGCCAGGATGTTCATGACTTCCTTTCACAGCACCAGCACTTGTGCTCCTGGAAGGGTGTGGCCAAGGCTGTGACCGAGATGCTGGGCCTGGGCGGTCGAATTGATATTCAGAACCTTCCCAAAGATCAGTACGGCGAGCTTGGAGAATATTTGCATCGTGTGGCAAAGGAACAGCAGTGCCTCTGTTGCAAGATTGCATGATGTCATGATTGAACATTGGCAAGGTTAACTGAACTGGACTTTGGAACCCCCCTCCAGTTTCAAAGCTGGACGCAGACATCTCAGTCAACCAGTCATACTGTCACATGCATCGCACTCAAGTCACACCAGCGAAGCAATCACAGTGCTGCCTGGCCATTGACCATTGCTTCACATTTTTGCTTGTCTGTCTACTGTATCTCCACTGTAATTGCAAGATTCATGCAGGTTCAATAGCCAGCTTGACTTGGAACACGAGATGAAGACCCTGGGCCTCCCACTTCAACAAGCCCAAAAAGCTGCCATTGCAAATGCCAGAGAGAAGCTCGGAGCTGACAAGGCGCTGTTGCTCCAACATCTCAGACTAGTTGCTGCGCCGCAAGAAGAGCCCTACTCAAACGCTCATCAAAAAATGGAAAGGAAATGGGCATGCCAGGTCGGTTCAAGTTGATTTAAGATGATTTTAGCTCAATGGGTCACTGATTCGACTGAGTCTTGCATCTGTGCCGTGATTTACTGCAGCAAAGCCAGCGCTTAGATTGGGCTCAGGTGTTCGATCCAGCTGCTGTCTATTCATTGCCTGGGTGGATGATGGAATTTGCCAAGCCAGTTCGTCAATTTTTGCATGCTGGGAAAGGCACGGTTGAAGTTCTCAAGTTGCAGTCAATGAAATGGTGTCATGGCTTCAATGATGTTTCGTGGCATGATGGGGCAAAAGGACATATGAGCACAGCTGCACCGCTGTGATATGTTGTCCTCTTACCTTTCTTACGACAGACTATACAGGCTTTTGTATTGTAGTGAGTTGCCCCCGAAAAACTGGATTCCTGCTGGCTGCTTCGCCACGGGTCTAAATATGTCTGTTGGCTTGGATTGATTCTCATTGATCACTTCGATCAGCTTGACACCTTGACATTGCCATTGTGCAGGCACAACTCTGATGGCTCTTCACGATATCGCAGAATCTACACCATCAGCTACGGACCGGCCGCTTCTCACTGACGACTGTGTCGAGTTCGGAGTGCCAGCGCAACTTGTGAAGCGCAGTGAAGGCCCAGTTCCAGCGCTATGTATCAATCTTGATGTCGATTCTGAGTGCGTCAATCTGGATTCCGATTGTGAGTTTGAGACAGAGATTGGGACTGACAAGGCTGAGGCTGAGGTCAGCTTTGACGCTGACGCTGACAATCCTGTTTTCTTCCGGGTAACCCATACTGGATTGGGCAAAAAAAAGCATGTGGAGAAGGGCTGTCTCACGACACATGACCTTGGGATTCAGATAATTCCTGTTGCTCATGTTCGTCATGGGTGCCAACATGACAAAATCTATGTGCTGGACTTGAGCACCACATCTTCTCTGTTCGGGTTTGGAGTGCCAAAATTGGCCACCTGGATGAGTGAGGCCCGTGTGTCGTTTGACAAGCTAGTTCAACATTGGAGATCCTGGACGCCACTGTCGCCTCAGCTGCTTGGTGTCAGGTTAGTTGCATGTTGAGGATGCAACACTAAAACTTTTTTTTGAAAAGCAAAGGCCCGGCTCAGACTCAGACTCTTCAACGGGCTCAACACACAACAAGTAACGGTAAGAGTAAGGGAAGTTTTTGAAAAATGATAACGACAATAGGGAAATATTGAGCGGCCCCTGTCCCAATCAAGTAGTAGGCCCGCACCCTGACTTCAGAGTCCAGAGTTCAGGTTTTCTAAAGACCAGCTACAGCTGCCTGTGCATAGTCCAAGCTTGCTATTCACCAGTCGGCCCAATGTTGAGATGCAACAGATGTCCCCTTTGGAGCTCATGAGTTTACTAGATCAGCGCGGGTGGCAGAAGTCCTGTGACATGAGCGGCATCAAAAAGCTGCAGCCGTACGATTGCGCCACTGGTTTGCCCAAGACATACTATGTGAAGCAGGGCTTCATTCCTTTCAAGCCCTATCTATTGCTGTTGCTGAACTCCAGTGTTGGGCAGGTCTACCATGGGCAGTGCAAGGCATACTACACATGCTTGGCGAACACCAAGACTGATGCTGAATGTCCAAAGCCTCACCAACCTGCGCAGTACTACAAGGCACTCATGGGGCGCCGCTTCAGGTTTGCTGGCCAAGGCCGGCCTGGTGGTGATGATCGCATTGATCAACCTGATGGGGTTGAACCTGAAGTTGAACTTGAGGCCGATGATGTCTTCGATGGCTTTGCGTTGGGCGGGGGGGTGGTGGGGACGAAGCAGAAGCAAAAAGAAACCAGGACCCTGATTCTGATATGGAGAAATTTGCAGTTGATGGTGACAGCAGCAGTGGCTCTGACAGTGACAGGGATGGCTCAGAGATTGATCAGGATGATGACG